ATCATCCATGTCAAGAGAGGGGTTTGGCAGGGTGATACCATTTCACCAAAACTCTACAGTGTCACCCTTGAGAACATCATGCGACAACTGGAATGGGAAGGAATGGGAGAGAAGATAGATGTTCGGCAACTACACCACCTCCGCTTTGCTGATGACATCATTCTAATAACACCAAACATTTGCCAAGCGACACAAATGCTGACCTACTTCGACCGTGAGTGTGGAAATGTCGGACTACAGCTGAATTTTTTTTTAATGAATCACTGTGGGAAAAGTTACAAAGCTTGCAGGTTTAGGTCTCAGTCATGGAAATATCAAACACCTTTCCCTTTGCCAATACTTATTTTTTACCACGAAGAATTCCAATAAAACCCCACCCCCACCCCCCCAATGCCTGCGAGGTAGATGAATTCTAGTTGACACTCTATCTGCTTTGATTAGATACATTGTTTCAATAAAAGATGCACCACTCTTATTTATAGTTTACCCCCTCCCCCCAAATCAGACATGCTGAGAAAGCACTGTGGAGTGATTCACTTTCTACAGCTGGGTTCAAGAAATAAATGTTGGTTTTGGATTTCTGCTATTTTGCTAATTAACCCTGGAAGTATTTTTATTGAGAGTCAGATAATTAAGAGATTGGTTTCTGTGCTCTGGAGTCGTGGCCGTGCTGGATAGCCGCTCGTGGTGGGCAACTGGCGGCCTCGGTAGGGCGTGAAGGACGGACAGGAACGCCCCCCTTCCCATGAGGTTTTAGTCGCCCCTACACCCCCGGCTCACACCTGCTCTCCACAAGGCACCCATGTCGCCACCATCTTCTTTCCAGAGAGGAGAGGGCGAATGGGGCAACACCCTTTCCTCTCCGGGCAGACATGATGGCCTGGATTAATGCATAGTCTGTTCACTTTTCTGCTCCAAGCTGCTGGGTTCTGCATTAAGTCCTTGTGCTTCTGGGGCCGTGGCCGTGCTGGAGAGCCGCTTGTGGGGGGCAACTGGTGACCTCGGTAGGGCATGAAGGACGGACCGGAACTCCCCCCTTCCCATGAGGTTTTTTTGTCGTCCCCGCACCCCCGGCTCATACCTGCTGTCCACAAGGCTCCCATGTGGCTGCCATCTTTCTTTCCAGAGGGAGGAGGGCGGAAGGGAGCAACACACTTTCCCCTCCAGGCAGACATGATGGCCTGGATTAACGCATAGTCCGTTCACTTTTCTGCTCCAAGCTGCTGGGTTCTGCATTAAGTCCTTGTGCTTCTGGGGCAGTGGCCGTGCTGCAGAGCCGCTCGTGGGGGGCAACTGGTGGCCTCGGTAGGGCGTGAAGGACGGACCGGAATTCCCCCCTTCCCATGAGGTTTTTTTGTCGTCCCCGCACCCCCGGCTCATACCTGCTGTCCACAAGGCTCCATGTGGCTGCCATCTTTCTTTCCAGAGGGAGGAGGGCGGAAGGGAGCAACACCCTTTCCCCTCCGGGCAGACATGATGGCCTGGATTAACGCATAGTCCGTTCACTTTTCTGCTCCAAGCTGCTGGGTTCTGCATTAAGTCCTTGTGCTTCTGGGGCTGTGGCCGTGCTGGAGAGCCGCTCGTGGGGGGCAACTGGTGGCCTCGGTAGGACGTGAAGGACGGACCGGAACGCCCCCCTTCCCATGAGGTTTTAGTCGCCTCCACACCCCCGGCTCACACCTGCTCTCCACAAGGCTCCCATGCAGCCGCCATCTTTCTTTCCAGAGAGGAGAGGGCGAATGGGGCAACACCCTTTCCCCTCCGGGCAGACATGATGGCCTGGATTAATGCATAGTCCGTTCACTTTTCTGCTCCAAGCTGCTGGGTTCTGCATTAAGTCCATGTGCTTCTGGGGCTGTGGCCGTTCTCAAAACTTAACTCTGATTTTCAGGGAGAAACGTTGGGTGATTTACTTCCCATTGATCACTTTGTATATACAGAGATGACGCGCGGCCACATAATTGGCCGCACGGTTTGGAGGAAAAGTCCTACTTCCCGCATACTCGAGCTATGTTTGTGGAGGCTTCTGGTCACTGGGGTTCCATCTGGGGGAGGCGGGATGAGGCACCTACCCATCTGGGACTTCTCGGCAATCTCGGCTGTTTTTGGAACCTGGTTTCGTCTCCGGGAGCTGTGGAGCCAGCCCTCCATGTGGTCCTTCTTCTCTCTGTACGGCTGTGTGCGGTAAAGATGGCGCTGGGGGGGCTGGCCGTGGGCGTGACTTCCGGAATCAGAGGTTATTTAGGAGCCGGGAAGGTCCCGGCGGTTTGGAGGAAAAGTCCTAGTTCCCGCATACTCGAGCTATGCTTATGGAGGCTTCTGGTCACTGGGGTTCCATCTGGGGGAGGCGGGACGCGGCACCTACCCCATCTGGGAATTCCCGGGGATCTTGGCTCTTTTTAGAACCTGGTTTCTTCTCCGGGAGCTGTGGAGCCAGCCCTCTATGTGGTCCTTCTTCTCTTTGTATGGCTGTGTGCTGTAAAGATGGAACCACCATCTCTGAATGCAACAGTTATATATACCTAGTTCGAGAAATCAACATGATCAATGACCTGGCACCTGAGTTGCACAGGAGGAACAGAGTGGCTTGGAATGCCTTCAAGAGCGTTGAAGAAATAACTAAGAGGAAAAAGAACCTTCAGCTACGAGCACATCTCTTCAATTCCACTGTTCTTCCTGCATTAACATATGACTCAGAGACCTGGGCCCTACGAAAACAGGATGAGAACGCTACTCGGGTCTCTCAAAGAGGAATCAAAAGAGCTATGCTTGGAATATCACACATAACTCAAATGAGAGATAGAATCCGGAGTTCTGATCTCCGTCAATGGTCAAGAATCAGGGACGCTGTCTCATCTGCCAAGGAATCAAAAATCAGATGGGCTGGACACGTAATAAGGTTTACAGACAACCACTGGCGTAGACCCATTACTGACTGGATTCCACGGGACGTCAAAAGATCGCGTGGACGCCCACCTACAAGATGGTCAGACTTCTTCGTCAAGACCCTGAATGATCGGTTTGAGGCTCTGCATGTTCCTAGAACGAACAGATGCCATTGGGCTACAGTAGCACGCAACAGGCATGCATGGAGACATTACAGGCACCCACTTGAATAAATTGATGAATAAAGGGGGATCAAGTGATATATTTTTTAGGTTTAGGTTTTTAGGTTTTAGAATTACTGCTTTTATGCAGCAACACAGTTGGAACTGGAAGATACCGTCTTGAGTGAAGTTAGCTAGAAAAAGAAAAAAAACAGGATGATGTTCACTCATCTGTGGAATACCGAACAGTTGATGTGGAAATGTACTGTAAAGGGGCTGCTTAAATCATCCCTGATTCCAGTGTTTAGAGAGAAGCTGAACAAAGAAGGAAAGAAATTTGGGGCGGAGGAGAACCAGAAGTTTACAGGGATCAGGGATTCATTTATGCCAGTGACATGAATGAGGGGTGTAGCCATTTACCCAAAACACAGATGCAACCGAACTGAAAACAAGAGATTTAAGCTGCAACCACTGAAACCTAGTCATGTGCTTCTCCAGATGACAGGCGGGGGTAGACTGGGGACTGGGGTGGGGAGGGCATACAGGAACATGGGTGGAGGGAAGCTGATGCAGGGATCGGTGTTCAATTATTATATGCCTAAACACAACTATCAATAACTTTGAAAATACTGGCACTCTAATAAAAACTTTAAAAAACAATACAATAAAATACATTTTCAGATTTCAGCACCCACTGAGGTTAAATATGCTCTAGTCCCAGCATTAGGCTCCGATATTTTTCCTGTGATGTTGAGACCATAGATGTGGTTGTGGGGATGGAGCCAGACCCCACCGTTCAAATCGCATGCTCAGTCCACTGAGCACTCCAATGGCATAATAGTTTCAACAAGAGAATCTTACAGCACGCTTGTATGCAATACCCCTGTTCCCTAAAGAAATTGCTGTAATGCCACATCCTGAAACTGTGATTTGAGTTCTGAAATCCAACAAAATGCACAATGAAAATTAGTCCAATGTTGAATGGAATGCAGTTGAATGACCAAGCAGGTGGAGGACATCTCCATAGTTCTCACAGTCCAAGCACGCCTACAGAAAGGGAATATCTGCGGGAAGTGTTGCTAGGAGGAGTTCGGCAATCCCCAAAAAAGCCTTTTGGGTTTTGTTTTTAATCAGACCCTCTGGAACAAGCCAGAAGCATAGCAAACAATAACAGAGTAGTGAGCCGTGACAGCTCTGAGCAGTGGGGTGTTTCTGTACCTGATTATTCAGTAAATTTCCTCCTTATTTTCATCACCAGGACCCATTATTTCCAAGTTAACACACAAGCAATTCCAAGCACTAGAATATTGGCATAGGTGCAGCCAGGGTGAAAATCAGCAGGTACCTTCAATGACATGAGGAGAAGCCTGTTCCAAACAGGCAGGCTTACTTCCCTCTTAACTGCACTTTTTTTTCACACCCTTGAGCATCGTGTCCAAAGGAAGCTTGCTTGACTGACTTGTACTGTTCTGTCCTTACAGACTGTTATTAAGGGATCAAATCATCCAGTATGAACTTTTATATGTTTATTAAGGTGTGAGGGGTACATGAAGCCCTTCCCACATTCCTGACATATATGCAGTTTGTCTCCAGTATGAACTCTCACATACTGAGTAAGAGAACAGCACCAAATGAACGACTTCCCAAAAGACTGACACTGATAAAGCTTCCCTCCACTGTGAATATTCCTGTACTTAGCAAGGATTCAGAATGGCAGAAAGCGTTCCCACATTTCTCGCATATAAAAGGTTTTTCTCTGGCGTGAATGCTCCTATGTACACTAAATCTGAGGCCTTCCACATTTCTTACATATACAGTTTCTCTCCAGTGAATTCTCCAATGTACACTAAGGCTTGAGGCTTCAGCAAAGGACTTGCCACATTCCTTACATAGATACGGTTTCTCTCCACTGTGAATTCTCCTCTGTACAGTCAATTGTGAGGATGAAGTAAAGGCCTTTCCGCATTCCAGACATATCTAAGACTTATCTCCATTATGAATTCTCATGTGTAGAGTAAGGGAAGAGAACCGTGTGAATGCCTTCCCACATGTCTGACACTGATGAGGTTTCCCTCTGAGATGAATTTTCATATGTGCAGTAAGTCTTGAGGCTACAGCAAAGGCCTTCCCACATTCCTTACATATATATGGTTTCTCTCCAGTGTGAATTTTCCTATGTTCACAAAGTGTTGAGGGTCCAGCAAAGGCCTTCCCACATTCCTTACATATATACGGTTTCTCTCCAGTGTGAATTCTCCTATGTAGAGTAAGTTTTGAGGATGTAGTAAAGGCCTTCCCACATTCCTTACATATATACGGTTTCTCTCCAGTGTGAATTCTCCTATGTACACGAAGGGTTGAGGCTTCAGCAAAGGCCTTTCCACATTCCTTACATATATACGGTTTCTCTCCAGTGTGAATTCTCCTATGTACAGTAAGTTTTGAGGATGTAGCAAAGGCCTTCCCACATTCCTTACATATATAAGGTTTCTCTCCAGTGTGAACTCTCCTATGTGCCCTAAGGCTTGAGGCATCAGCAAAGGACTTCCCACATTCCTTACATATATATGGTTTCACTCCAGTGTGGATTTTCCTATGTACACTAAGTTTTGAGGCTAGAGCAAAGGCCTTGCCACATTCCTTACATATATAAGGTTTCTCTCCAGTGTGAACTCTCCTATGTACCCTAAGGCTTGAGGCATCAGCAAAGGACTTCCCACATTCCTTACATATATATGGTCTAACTCCAGTGTGAATTTTCCTATGTTCACTAAGTCTTGAGGCTACAGCAAAGGCCTTTCCACATTCCTTACATATATATGGTTTCTCTCCTGTGTGAATTTTCCTATGTAGACTAAGTCTTGAGGCTGTAGAAAAGGCCTTCCCACATTCCTTACATATATACGGTTTCTCTCCAGTGTGAATTCTTCTATGTACAGTAAGATTTGAGGCTCTAGTAAAGGTCTTTCCACATTCCTTACATATATACGGTTTCTCTCCAGTGTGAATTCTCCTATGTACACTAAGTCTTGCGGATTCAGCAAACTGCTTCCCACATTCCTTACATATATACGGTTTCTCTCCAGTGTGAATTCTTCTATGTACAGTAAGTTTTGAGGCTCTAGTAAAGGTCTTTCCACATTCCTTACATATATACGGTTTCTCTCCAGTGTGAATTCTATGTACACTAAGACTTGAGGCTACAGCAAAAGTCTTCTCACATTCTTTACATATATACGGTTTCTCTCCAGTGTGAATTCTCCTATGTATACTGAGGCCTGAGGATTGAGTAAAGGCATTACCACACTCCTGACATATATAAGGCTTCTCTCCACTATGAGTTTTCATATGTCTCTTAAGACTAGAGGTGTGAATAAAGGCGTTCCCACATGTCTGACATTCATGAGGTTTCTCTCCTGTATGAATTCTCCTGTGCATAATAAGATGTGATGATTGATCGAAGGCCTTCCCACATGCTTCACATGCAAAAGGTTTCGCTCCTGAATTTATAATCATATGGTCATGATGGAGTAAGCCTTGACTCACACTTTGTTCTTGGGACTGACTTTTCTGGGGATTCTGTCCACTGTGGTTTTCTAAGGGAACACCACAGTGCTGAGAACAAGGGGAGGTTCCCCCACATTCCTGACATGTAGATGGGTTCTGCTCACGGTGACTGTGGTTGAAGGTATGTTGCTGTGACGGACTCACTATAAACAGTGCTCCTCTCCCTAGCAGCTGCCGCGCTGGGGGATTTTGTGCCTGTGAACTGAGAATAACACACTCCAAGGAACTTTTTCCAGCAGAGGGCTTCTTCTGAGTGAGGTAGCTCTCACCATTCTGATCACCCTCAGAAGACATCCCGCCTGTCTCGGAGTCCTCATGGGGCTGAGGGCAGGATTGCTCACTCAAGACATTGTCACACAGTGCAGGATCAGAGACATTCCACTCGGGGTGGCAGATTTCCTGTGGAACAACAGAGGATTCTAATTATTGACTTGTTCACTGAGTCTTCCTGTCAAAAAACTAAGCCCTTCAGATGTGGTTTCACACATATGCACCACACAAATGCAATTACCAACATATGAATTGTCTTACTACAGAATAACTTCATGTTACTGTAAGTTGGACACACAAAATTGATGGATGCAGAGTCAGTAAATGCTGTGACTTCCGCCCCCCCCCTTAAATTAATGAAGGAATACAACTGGAAACAATTCCTTCTATAGAAAACGGACGCATCCATTTCAAGAGAAAGTGAAGTACAACCTCAGGTGGGTTTTGTTAAAAATTAGTGTGGAATCTGTGATGCAGGGGTGAAGACAACTCTGCATCGTCACACAGCTGAGACAGACCACATGGCCATTGCAAAGCTCTCACCACAAGTGATGCCTTTCAGGATCAATGAAGTTTTTTGTTTTTTCTGTTTTGTAATTTCTATTTATTGGGGGTTGTGTGGGTGGAGGGGCACACCATGCAGTGACTAGGTTCAGTTCTGTGGGTCTATGGTGCCTATAAGGCGTGCTGGGTAAGGACCATCCATCCCTGTACAAAGCAAATATATTTCTCACTGCACCATCTCTAGGGCGCACAAATTAGCTTTCTAAACAACTACCACTGTCAAGCAAATCAAAATGCACAGTATTTTTATACATGGTTGATTTCAGCGCCTAATGAAGATAAGGGTCCTCTACTCCAAGCCTCAGGCTTTGGAATTCCTCCCTGCCATTCCCAGCCTTCCACCTTAACAATCACATACTTGGTCCACTCCTGCTGGCATAATAATATTTATTCTCAATTAGCGAATCTTACCAACTCACTCGTACTTGCTGACCCCATTCCCAAATCATAGTGCTGTAATGCCAAATCCTGAAGTCGCGGTTTCAGTTCTGAAACTGAACAAAACATGCAATTCAAGCACTTGTCAAAAAATTGTAGCAAAATGATGCCATGTAGTTAAGAGTACATCTCTGTGGTTCTCAAAGTCCAAAGAGTCCCACACTAAAGAAAAGATTCGGATAGTGGAAAACTGTGAGGATCTTGGCAATTCTACACTAGGATTTGTTTTTGAGCAGATCTGGTAATGTTCGGGGAACCAGGCTATTGAACAAATTATTGAACAGGTCATCTTCAGGCGGTGCAAGGCACTCCCTGCTGTAGTATCGTTCAGATCCAAACTAGCTCTGTTATGGTCTTATTTATTCGAAAGCCATGGAAGCAAATTACAGGATCATTCTGTGATTGACAGTCCAGGGGAATGAAGAGCAGCGTGAGTGCGGCACAGACCCAAGAATCCAGGAGACCAAGGCCCCAGTCTCAGCAGCGTGTTTCATACATGCTCAGGGCACCCATACACTGCACAGAACCTTAGCCAGGAAGGGTCCTCAGACACTCACCCGCACACATGTCTCTCCTCCCCGACCTCAGGGATCCTCCTTCCAGCCAGGAGATCACCGCAGGCTTCATCCCAGAGTGCCCTGCCCCGACAGAGACAGAGGCATGGATAAGTGACAGGGAAAAGCTGACAGGTAAATGCCCATGTTTTCCTGATATAACTTGGCAAATATATGAAAGACATGAACAGAATGACCATTTCCAAAATGCCACATATTTCTAGTTATTCGAGAGTTAAGACCCAAGATAATACCGCAAATACTCTAGACCTGGCCTTGTGTATGGCTGACAGGGGGTTGATCAGCACAATGTGTTGTTGGTTTTTGTCTTGTTTGGGGTCTCACCTGGCAATGATCAGGGGTGACTCCTGACTCTGTATTCAGAAATCACTGCTGCTGGTGCTCGGGGATGACATGGGATGCCGGGGATTTAACCCATGTGCGCCGCTTGCAAGAAAATCACTTTCCTCCCTGTACTGTTTTTCTAGGCCCAGCAGCACATGGAGTTTCCTGAGCCCCTCATGAACTCATCACGAATTTCAGTAAAACTAAGTGCATAATAAATCTGGAAATAGCCAAGGGTGGCAAGAGACCCTTATTTTTTTTTATTATTAATTTAGTTTTTTTAATTGTGAGACATCATGAGGTACAGTTGCAGACTTACACATTTTTGTGCTTGGGTTTCAATTATACAATGATCAAACACCCATCCCTCCACCAGTGCGCATTTCCTTCTGCACCTCAAAAGAAACAGTGACCAAAAGACAAAGACAGTCTACAGAATGGGAAGGGATATTCACCAACTACACATCTGATAAGGGGTTAATTTCAAGGAGACCCTTATTTTTTTTTTTCAGCTAAAAAAATGTATCCAGAAAGAGATCACAGGAGGAGTTTCTCACGGACAATCCAGTTGTGATACCCAATATCACCTAGGGTCCCTCATGGCAGCCAGGAGTGATCTCTGAGTGCAGAGTCCAGGAGCAAACCCTTAGTCCTGCTGAAGTCTCACAAGAACCAATAGAAGTAAATTCAAGGGGGTATGGTGCCGCCAGCAGGTCAATCTGTACCTGTGAGGCGAGTGCATCAGCAGCCTCATGGCGTCTTCAGACTTCCAGATACCCCAAAATTGCTGCTATGCCTTCGGCCAGACCCCAAAAACTTGGGGCAAAGTTTACCAAGAAAGTAAACGGCCAAAAATTAGGTATGTGGGAAACACACCCACAAACCACCTCCGGCTCAGCTATATAATTGGAGGCAAGGCCTCTTTGGTTCCTGATTGAACTGCTTAATGGACATGATCCCAGAGACTCAGAAACGAATCTCAGAACCCAGTGGCTTTAGGTAGAAATGCGTCTGGTCTCTGCAGTAGGCTACCGGTGCTGGGCCAACCCAGGTGGGAATAGGTTTCGTGCCTTGGCCTGTTCCCCCTGGCAGCCCAGTGGTCGCCATCCGTCTGAGGCCACTGGATAGTCACATTTGGGCCCTCAGTGACGAGACACACAGGGCCTCACGGGATGAGGGTGAAGCCGGGCTTGTCCTCCCCACCCCAACGAGACCCCAAGTCATCGCCCACGAATGGCCTCTCTGGCTCCTGATCAAGCTGCTTAATGGCCATGATCCCAGAGACTCAGAAACAAATCTCAAAACCCAGTGGCTTTTGGCAGAAATGCATCCGGACTCTACAGTACGTTACTGTCGCTGGGCCACCCCAGGGAGGAAAGGGTGTTGTCCCTCCACCTGCTCCCTCTTGGCGACTTGGTGGCTGTCATCCTCCAGAGGCCATTGGACAGTCAGGCTTGGGCCCGCAGTGACGAAACTTGTTGGGCCTCACGGGATGGGGGGGTGGAGCCGGGCCTGTCCTCCCCACCCCAACGAGACCCCAAGTCATCGCCCATGAACGGCCTCTCTGGCTCCTGATCAAGCTGCTCAACGGCCTTGATCCCAGAGACTCAGAAACAAATCTCGAAACCCAACGGCTTTTGGCAGAAATGTGTCCAGACCCCGCAGTAGGATGCTGTCGCCGGGCCACCCCAGGGGGGAATGGGTGCTGTCCATCTGCCTGCTCCCTCTTGGTGACTTGGTGGCTGTCATCCTCCAGAAGTCATTGGACAGTCAGGCTTGGGCCCGCAGTGACGAAACTTGTTGGGCCTCACGGGATGGGGGGGGGGGGGGTGGGGTGGCGGGAGCCGGACCTGTCCTCCCCACCCCAACAAGACCCCAAGTCATCGCCCATGAACGGCCTCAAGCTGCTCAATGGCCATGATCCCAGAGACTCAGGAGCAGATCTAGAAACCCAGTGGCTTTTGGCAGAAATCCCTCCAGATTTAAGTGCTAAAATTTCAGAATTTCAAAACCACATGGCCCTACTGCAGCCACACAACATCATATGTTATTCATAACCAGCAATAGAACACAAATTGTCTATTGTTGCCTTTTTAGCAGATCTGAGTGTTGGGGTAAAATCTCAAATAATGGTGGGTCTGGTGTCGAAATAGTGAATGTGATCAAAGTAGAGAGAGAGTAATGTGGAAATCATCTGCCCCACAGGCAGGGGGAGGGTGTGGGATGGGGGTATACTGGGATTTTTGGTGGTGGAGAATAGGCACTGGTGAAGGTACGGGTGTTTCATTGTATGACTGAGACTTAGACCCAAAAGCTTTGTAACTGCTCTCACGGTGATTCAATAAATAAAATTATAAAAAATGGGAAAAAAAAGTAAGGTGGAGTTCATGCACAATTCAATCAGCTAATCAGTGGCTGAATAAATAGCAGTACTCCTACAAAAAAAAATTTTAAAAATTAAAAAAAGAAGTAAATTCAAGCACTGAAATAGGGCAGCGTCTAATGATTTGAGAGACAAGATATCAAATCCCCTGTGGTGGGAGAGAGAGAGTACAGCACATAGGACAGAAGCGCTGCACACACATGTGGGTTTTATCCGAGGCAGCCCATATGGTCTTGGAGCAAGGCCACATGTGGATCCTGAATACACAGGCAGGAATAATCCCTATCCATAAGGAAAAAAAAGAGAAAGAAAAAACCCTCTGACTTGAGAGCCAGGATGAATAGTAC